GCAGAGGGTGAAGGAAAGGTTTATACATGGAGGGAAACTTTTCTTTGTTGGTTGCCAGAGCTGGGAAGGGAGGGGAGGGAACACTGCAAAAAAAAAAAAAATGCATTGACCCATGTCACTTTAGTTTTGTGTATTTCACTGTACATAAATTATATTTCAATAAAATGGATTAAAAAAAAAAAAAGACTGGACCTGAATCCCTCTTTTGACTTAAGGAACCACACCTCTATAATAGTACTAAATAATCGACACCTTGGCACTTAATCATACACACAGCCTGCCAAGACATTCTCAGATGCCTTCACTATATAAATCCTCTTCTATTCAAGCTATAATTTTTCAGTGCAGAAGCTTGTTATGTCCAAAATCTCTGCGAAGCAGTCCTTCCTTTCTTCCCTTGAACTGTGCCTTGATCACATCTTAAACATAAGCCTATCTCTAAGGAGTTTATCCAGATCTGCTTAAATAATTTATTTTCGAAGGATCAGCACAAGACTGGTCCCTATGAGACGGAGGTTAAAGATGTCCCAAATGTCCAACTTTTCCAAACTGCTGTGCCACTCCATCATCTCTAACATCAACTCCTTCTCCTCCCCTCAGTATCTCCTTCCTGTCTTAGGGCTCCGTATTTCACTGTAACGTCTCACAGAACTCACAACTGCCAAGGAAACAGCTGATGTGGTGGTAGAGCCTGGGAGGCTGGCAAGTCCCAAGTCCGTGGGTAGGTCTGAAGGCTTCTCCCCACCTGCATGGTTGCAGGAGCTAGTGGACCTAAACTGGCAGGTCAGATGACGGCTGCTGTCTCAAGTCTAGGGGTGAGATGATGACAAACCAAATGCAGGAACAGAGCAAGAGAGAGAAGTTCCCAGGACATTCACATACACACACATATACCCTCAAGGGAACTAAGGGGAGGCTTGAGTCACACCCTCCAGCAAGGCGGGACTCAAGAAACTCCAACCTAAACAGGCATATAGACTAGGATTTACCATACATCACAAAATGGAGGATGATGGCTAGAAGAGCCATAGTAAGCAACTCACTCACTGCAGGGTCCATTTGGTCCACTGACCTATTTAAATGCTCTGGCAGCAGTACCTTGCTGGTTTTAGAGCTATGCAGAGTGTCTCCTCCTCTGGTGGAACATGCCCACTCCCTTTGCTCTTTTCAAAGCTGACCTTTAGAAAATGTTAATCAATTTCCTAAAAAATATTGTTTGGGATTACACTGTATTTATAAATGCTTCGTGAGAACTGACATCTTTAAAATACTAAGTCATCCCACTCAAGATCTCACCAAAGAGTATCTATTTACTCAGAGTTTCTTTTATGCCATTTAATAGAGTTAATTTTTTTTTCTCCAACAACAGAAGAAATTATTGTTATGATTTGTCACTCTCATAGCACACCAAACAGCTAAAGTGTTGTTGTTGTTAGGTGCCATTGAGTCAGCTCCGACCCATAGTGACCCTACGTACAACAGAACAACACACTGTCTGGTCCTGCACTATCCTAAGAATCCTTGGTATGTTGAGTCCATCATTGCAGCCACTGTGTCAATCCATCTTATTGAGAGTCTTCCCCTTTCATGCTGACTCTCTAACAAGAATATCTTTCTCCAGAACTAGTTCCTTCTGACAACATGACCAAAGTAGGTGATACAACTTCTGGCCATTCTTGCTTCTAAGGAACATTCCGACTGCACTTCTTCCAGGACAGATTTGTTCATCGACATCTGACCTCCTGACTGCTGCTTCCATGGGTGTTGATTACAGATTGAAGTAAAATTAAATCTCTGACAACCTCAATCTTTTCTCCATTTATCATGATGTTGCTTACTGGCCCAGTTGTGAAAATTTTTGTTTTCTTTATGTTGAGGTGTAATCCATCCTGAAGAATGTAGTATTTTATCTTCTTCAGTAAGTGCTTCAAGTCATCTTCACTTACAGCAAGCAAGGCTATGTCATATGCATATTATAAGTTATGAATGAGTGTTCCTCCAATCCTGATGCATTCTTTTCATATAGTTCATCCTGTCAGATTATTTGCTCAGCATACAGATTGAGTAAGTATGATGAACAGATACAACCTTGACACAAACCTTCCTGATTTTAAACCACGTAGTATCCCTCCTTGTTCTTGGTCTAGGTACAGGTCCTCAAGAACACAGTTAAGTGTTCTGGAATTCTCTTTTTTTGCAATGTTATCCATAATTTGTTATGATCTACACAGCTGGATGCCTTTGTAGTCAATAAAACACAGGTAAACATTTTTCTAGTATCCTTTGCTTTCAGCCAAGATACATGTGACATCAGCAATGATATCCCTCATTCCACAGCCTCTTCTGAATCCAGCTTGCATTTCTGGAACTTCCTTGTCAATATACTGCAGCAACCATTTTTGTAACATTTTATCTATGTGGGGTATTAATGATACTACTTTATGATTTCCACATTCTGTTGGATCACCTCTCTTTAGAATGGGCACAAATATTGACCTCTTTCAGTCAGTTGGCCAGGTAGATGCACCTGCATCTCAAAGGGTAGTCCATCAATTCCTGGAGCCTTGTTTTTCGCCAATGTTTTCAGTGCAATTTGGAGTTCTTTCTTCAATATCATTGGTTTTAATCATATGCTACTTCCTGAAATAAACGAATGTCAATCAATTTTTTTTGGTACAGTGACTGTGGGTTCCTTCCACCTTCTTTTGATGCTTCCTGCATTATTCAATATTTTGCCCAAAGAATCCTTCAATATTACAACTCGAGGCTTGAAATTTTTCATTAACTCTTTCACCTTGAGAAATGTCAGCATGTTCTTCCCAGGTCTTTGCACATTTCATTATAATAATTTACTTTGTCTTCTTGAGCAGCCCTTTGAAATCTTCTGTTCAGCTCTTTTATTTCATCATTTCTTCCATTTGTTTTAGCTACTCTTCCTTCAAGAGCGAGTTTCAGAATCTCTTTTAACATCCATTTTGGTCTTTTCTTCCTTTGCTATCTTTTAAATGACATTTGGCTTTCTTCATGTATGTTCTTTCAAAAAAATTTTTTAAATTGTGATTTAGATGAAATTTATAGAGCACACTCATTTTCCATACAGCAATTCACACACATTTTGTTTCATGACATTGACTGCAATCCCCCACAATGTAACAGCTCTCTTCCCACTTCCTCCCTGTAGTTACCTCTTCTCTGTGCCCTTTCCTCCCAAGCACTCCCCTTTCCCCCACAGCTGTCACCCTGTGCAAACACTGCCCTTCTGTTCTCCCATGATTGATGGCTCCAAGAAGAGTATCTACCTGATGTAAACGTTTACCCCATATGCCTGTCTATTGTTTGGCTGGAAGCCCCAGGAGTGAATTTAGTTCCAGACCTGAAGGGTAACTAGGGGCCAAAGTCTCAGGGGTCTCCCCAAGCTCTTTCAGACCAGCTAACCTGGTCTTTTTTTTTCTCTTATGATTTTGAGTTTTTTTCCACATTGTTCTACCGCTCTATCCCGGATCTCCTGGACCGATCCCCCTCCAAATGGCTGACAGTGGTAGCCATCTAGTTCTTCTGATTTCATGGTCATATAGGCTGAGGATTGCATGGTCTACTAGTCCCTTGGACTAATTGTTTCCATGTGTCTTTGCTTTTCTTCACTCTTCTTTTCACTAGACAAGAAGAGACCCATCATTGCATCTAGATGGCTGCTTGCAAGCTTTTAAGGCCCCAGTCACCACTCACCGAAGTCTCTTAGTCTGCAAGTTCCACTGAAACCTGTCCACTATGGGTGTCCTTGCTGGTATTTGAAATACCAGTGACACAGTTGCTAGTCTCACAGCAACACACAAACCACCACAGTATGACAAACAGATAAAACAGCTTTAAGTACTCAATAAATATCTGGGAGACTGAATTGAAACTATATGATTTGTATGAAAACCTAATCAAGCATACATAATAATAAATAATTTTAAATTTAGAACATAATGATTAACCACTCATCTTTACTGGAAAATGAATCTTTTATACAAATAATTTCCAAAACCCAAATGGTTCCTCGTTATCACCAGCTGGTCCCTGACGCAGCTCACCTTTCTTAGCTTCCTAACTACTCCCTCTGCTCTCTTCCTTCGCCTCGTCTTACTGTAGCTTTTTGTTTTCTTTCTATGATTGCATTTGTTGTTGCTGTTATGTGCCGTCGAGTCGGACCCGACTCATAGCGACCCCTCCTTGGGTTTCCGAGGCAGTATCATAAGAAGCATTATAAACAACTTCTGGAAAGGAACTCTTAAAAATTTCTGAATCCTCATCCCCTCCCCACCTCAAGGGGTCCATCCCAAAGCGGCAATCTTCCTCTAAGAGTTAGTAGTAAAATACTTTTACAATAAAGTTTGAATATTTTGGAAGGCACAACCCCAAACTCTGTTTTCAAAATAAACTCGATCAAGTTCAGGCTCTCTGCAGCCCTTCCAAGCACGGCTCTTTAAGGAAGTTGAGGCAGCTCCGCATCACAGTTCCCCCGCCCCGGGTTGGGTACTGAAGAGCTCCAAGTGACCCAAACAGGGGCTGTGCCAGTCCTCCCCCGCCCCACCAGCTACCCGCTTTCTCCTGAAAAACTGCTGCTTCCTGGCACATTCTCTGCGCCCACTTCTCACTGTGCCCCCTCCATCTGGCTCTTGCCTCCAACCAGGACTCCCGCCCTACTTCACCCTGACTCAGGCCCAGGCCTCTTTCAAAGGGGAACTTCTAGCCCTATACTGTAGGGCCAGGCCATCTGTCGCCACTCCGCTCTTTTATGGCCCTCCAGGTTTTCCCCGAATCCTACCTTCTTCCAATCTGTTCCCACTTCCCCCAATGCCCTCCCAGCTCAGATTCCCCTACCAATGGCACCAGAATCCCTCTCCCTTTTATCTCCCTTATGATCCACTTCCAAATCTCTCTCCTCTTCCCTTTTCAACCAGTCCACCCGGACCCTTTCCATCCGCTGCTTCCTCCGAGCGCCCCCTCGCTCTCACCTCGCTCCCATTCTCCAGCAGCAGCCACTCGGTAGTCATTCCAACCCGCCGTAAGCACCAGCTCCGGCCACCGGCGCGGTATCCCGTGACCAAGGAATCGGGATCCCCCATAGCCCACTGGGCCCTGGGCAGGCCGGGTCGTGGTCACAACACAGCGAGACCCCAATCCCGGCAGAAACTCCTCTTCCTCGCGGCCACCATACCTAAACAACAGACAGAAGCAATCGTCACGCAGTAGCGATCGATGCAAGCCCACTCTACGGCTACAGGCCCAACCCCGTCCCGGGTCGGCAAGCGGGAGTCAATGCGCCTGCGCGAGAGGAAGGGCCAGGGTGGTGTAGATGTGCCAGTATCTTAGGTTCCGCAGGTGTCGCTTGAAGCAATCCCATTCTTCTGGCAGCCTCCCCGCCCCCTTCATTACCCTCTATAAACCACCATACCCCGGTCCTATTGCCCTAAACAGAAACTTCTCACAGTTCTTTTGTTTTTTAATTCTGCATTTATGATCCCATTGTGATGATATCCATATTACTTAAAACTATAACCCACTTTTAAACAACTTTGAACTTGTGATGTTAAAATCTGTTAACTCCCTCCCTAAATAGCATCTATTTTGCAAGATGTCTTCTTATTACTCAATATAAAAAATTATACCAGGTAAATCTCATGGGACGGAAAGCAGATCAGTTTTTGCCTGGGGCAGATCGTGGGGGAGGAGGGGTGGAGAGGAAGGGGCGAGTGACTGCAAACCTGCTGGGTTGGGGGAATTTTCTGGGGGGTGGATATGGTAATAGAAATGTTCTAAAACTAGATTGTGGTGATCATTGCACAAATGCATCAATTTACTTAAAAACCCTTAAACTGCATACTTGTTGTTATGTGCTGTTAAGTCGGACCGACTCATAGTGACCCCTCCTTGGGTTTCTGAGGCAGTGTCACTACAGAAGTAGATTGCCAAATCTTCCTTCAGAGGAGTGGCTGGTGGGTTTGAACCACCAGCCTTCTGGTTAGCGGTCAAGTGACTTAAGTACTGTGCTACCAGAGCTCCTACTTACAATGGGTAAATTTTATGGGATGTAAATTACCCATACTAAATGTACATATACCAATTCCTCATAACTCAGGTCTGTTAACCAAAAGAAAAGAAAAGAAAAAAACCACTGCCATTGAGTTCATTCTGACTCATAGTGACCTCAGGCTTTCCAAGGCTGTAAATCTTTACAGAAGCAGACTGCTTCATCTTTCTCCTGTAGAAAGGCTGTTGGGTTCAAACCACCAACCTTTTGGTTAGCAGCCAAATGCCTTAACCTCTGCACCACCAGAGCTCCTTCCAGATCTGTTACTACAGCCTAATTTCCCACCCGTGGTTGCAGTCCCCGCCTGGAGTGTGTTCTTCATGTTGTTGTTGTTATGTGCCGTGGAGTCGGACCTGACTCATTGCGACCCCTCCTTGGGCTTCCGAGGTAGTATCACTATGGAAGTAGATTGCCCAATCTTCCTTCCAAAGAGTGGCTGGTGGGTTTGAACCACCAGCCTTCTGGTTAGTAGTCAAGTGCTTTAGGCACTATGCTACCAAAGCTGAGAGCTAGACAGTGAATAAGGAAGACCGAAGAAGAGTTCATGCTTTTGAGTTGTGGTGTTGGAGACGAATGCTAAGAGTACCATGATCTCCTAAAAGGACTAATGAATCTGTCCTGGAGGAAGTGCAGCTGGAATGCTTGTTGGAAGCGAGAATGGCCAGACTTCATCTCCCCTACTTTGGTCATGTTATCAGAAGGGACCATTCCCTGGAGAAGGATATCATGCTTGATAAAGTGGAGGGTCAATGAAGAAGGGGAAAGCCCTCAACAAGATGGACAGACACAGTGGCTGCAATGATGGGCTCAGGTATAGCAAGGATTGTGAGGCTGGCCCAAGACTGGGCAGTGTTTTGTTATGCTGTGCATAAGGTCACTATGAGTTGGAGACAACTGGATGGCAGCTAACAAGAACAACAACTGTATTGTGTGAATATACCATTTTTTATTCAACAAGTCCCTTATTGATACACAATTTTATTCTCTCCGGTCCTTTGCTGTTCAAATAGCCCTGCAATGAATTAGCAGTTACCAGCTTTTTTTTTTTAATCATATTGTTTGCATCTGTTTTCTTACTTAATCCTCATTACCATCCAGTCGTTCCACAGGAGAAAGATGAGGCTGTTTGCTTCTGTAAAGGTTTACAACCTTGGAAACCTATGGAGCAGTTCTACTCTGTCCTATAGGATCACTGTGAGTCTGAATCAACTCAGTGGCAGTGGGGTGTTTTTAATTTTATTTTTTTAATTTTTATTGTGATTTGGGTGAAAGTTTGCAGAGCAAATTCATCTTCCATACAACAGTTTACATACACTTTGTCTCATGACATTGACTGCAATTTCCCACAGTGCAATAGCTCTCTTCCTACTTCCTCCCCATAGTTAACTTCCCTGTGTCCTTTCCTCCTATGCACATCTGCCCCTTGAGCCCTTCTATTCTCCATTGATTGATTTCTCCAAGGAGTGTATCTACCTAATGTAAATGTTCAGGTGATATGCCTGTCTATTGTTTGGCTGGAAGCCACAGAAGTGGGTTCAGTTCCAGACCTGAAGGGCAGCTAGGGGCCATGGTCTCAGGGTTTCCACAAGGCTCTATTGGACCAGCACACCAGGTCCCCCCCCCCCTTTTTATGATTTTTAATTTTGTTTCACATTGTTCTCCCACTCTATCCAGGATCTCCTACATAGATCTCTTCCAAGTGGTTGACAATGGTAGCCAGGCACCATCTATTTCTTCTGGTCTCATAGTGATATAGACTGAGGATCGCATGGTGTTCCAGTCACAAGGACTAATTGTTTCCATTAATCTTTGGTTTTCTTCATTCTTCTTTGTTTTGGATGAGGAGAGACCCATCGTTGCATCTAGATGGCTGCTTGTGAGCTTTAAAATCCCAGTGGCTAGTCATCACAGTAGGATGTGGAACAATGTTTTTGTGTTGTATGTTATGCCAATTGAGCTTGATGTCCTCTGTGACCAAGGTCCCAAGCAGCAGTGTGTTTTATCCATCCTGCAGGATATCATTATCTCCATTTTACCTATGAGGAACCTAAGACTGCTGGGTTGCCCAAGATCTCATTGCCATAAGCTCCTTGAGAGTTATGTCTTATTTTCCTTTGTATTCTTGGCATTTTATTGAATGAATGAATCTAGCTCAACTGGTAAATGGCTATGAGCCTGGGTCTATCTAGCCCAAAGGTTGCATCCATTGTAATCTAACAATAATCTCTAAGGTGGAATGGCTGTACTCTAGGAAGCACACAAAATGATCCATTTTCTAATGGAAAGAAAATATCAGGATGCCTAATTATATTTTCATCCCATCTTCCTAAAAATGCTCATGTTTGTGAATATTTTATAATTACACAAAAGAACAGCATACAGTATATTACAGACTTTATAAGTGAATATATAAATATGCATACACATATTGGGGCTGTGTTCTCAGATATTGTTTTGTTGCTAAGAGTGCATGACCAAAAGCACTACTGAAGAAGAAATACAAAGTAGGAGGTCTCACATTGCCAGATCTCAAAACCTACTATACAGCCACAGTAGTCAAAACTGCCTGGTATTGGTTCAATGACAGATACATAGAC